ATGTTATATGTGTTATATTTGTTATATGATATGTGTTATATTTGTTATATGAGATATGTGATATGTGTTATATTTGTTATATGAGATATGTGATATGTGTTATATTTGTTATATGAGATATGTGATATGTGTTATATTTGTTATATGAGATATGTTATATGTGTTATATTTGTTATATGAGATATGTGATATGTGTTATATTTGTGTGCCTAAGGTCACAGTGAGAGCTGGGGTTCATTGGTTGCATTGAGCAATAGTCCCAGTGGGCTGATGCTGGAATCAGTGGAAACATGAATGCACCCACACTTGTAGTAAAGACATAGAAAGACCACACCAGGGAAGTTGTGCCCAGTGTTACAAAACTCCATCATATTTGCACCTGTCATCCAGACAGAGGAATGGGACTCTATAAACATCACCTTTTGTTAATAAAACAAAACTGTAGCCTGTAACCCTGCACTTGATTTGATATTGTAATAATTGCAATAAGTTTTATTTATACCTCTCCAACTGGAAGCTTAAATTTTCCCAGCTTCTCAATTTGATATGTATATTTATTGATGGTACCTTGAATGTTCGACTGATTCTTTATCCCATGGGGCAGGTATGTCATCATCACTTCCTTGAGGGTCGTCAAAGAAATATGGACGGGGCAGGACCCTGTTATTGACAGCCATGCTGCTGGTCTGCAAGAAACACAGAAAAAGAGACACTTAAGAGTTGTTGAGTACTGCAGATCTTTTTATGGTGTTTTCAACAGTAAACAAGTTATATGTGGTAGCTGTGGGATGCTGCGCTCACATCCTGAGCAGGTCTGCGAACTCTTAAGATGAGGATGAGCAGGCTGGTTGGGATCAGCTCCCATATGAAAAGGATGACACCAAAGGCAATGTAGCCCCTGTCGCCAAGTTCCTTCTGCAGGTCAGCCTGAAAACAAATAAAATTAGCATTATAATTGGGAAAAGCACAAAATTAGACATTTAAATACACTAATCTTAGGCATGAATAGTATATTAATTTGTGGCTTCCAATGATTCATCTAAATAAAAAATTTCCCAAGATGGAAAGATTATACAACATACAGACCTAAACATGTTTTACAAACAAGAATTTGGTGCACCATCTCCACCAAGCATGAAAACTATACACAGGCTAATGTGTATATTTTGACGGAGTATTAGGGCCACACTACAAGTCTTTTAAAAATGTTTAATTACAAGATTTAATTCATCATTTTACCAGAATAAGTCGTAATATTTTGAGAACTTCTACATGAAAAAGCAGTCTTACCACTGTGTTAAAATGAGGAATGTTGAGCACCTTGTGAAGTTATAATTTGGTTTTGGTTTTACAAATAAAGGAACACCTAATCTTTTAGTACATCAAATAATCATCAAATTATCATCAGTAGCAGGATTTTGAAACTGTTATGATTTTTGTCTGTGTTAAGTGTTTTTATTTTTAGTTTCTGTCATGTTCCTGTTTTCCTCCTCATGTCTGCCCAGCTGCCCCTTATTTGTCTGATTAGTCACCCTCATGTTTCTCCTCAGGTGTTTTCTGTTTAGTAATTATTGTCAGTGTGTTTAACCCCTGTCCTGTCTCAGTCTGTTGTCGGGAAACAGGCTGCCAACCACCATTAAAACAAAAGAAGAAGAAGAAGAAGAAAGTTCCACCAGAAGAGGCTACGACGGAAGTTGAGGAAGTACTCGAGAGCTGCTAACACTTGGCAGATTTTGTTTAAAGATAATTGGTTTCAAAGGTGGTTTTGGCATAATCCGGATTGTGAGTGGATCAAGATGGCAAGTAGTAGTGGGGGTTATTCAGAAGATGAGAATATGGATACAGGATGGTCTATGGTAGAAAATAGAAAAGGAGGAGGGGCAAGAGATAAAGGTAAAAAGGGAATAAACACTGGAAAAAGATCTCTTGAGGATGAGGAAGAAAGAACTGAAATRAGAAAGAAAGCAATGACGGAASAYTTTAAAGTTATATTAAAGTTTAAGGTTGGACAGGATTTGTTTGGAGTGAGCCCTATTAGTTTATCTAATGGATTAAAGAAAGCTATTGGAGATGTAGAACTAGCTAAAGTTTTAAGAGATGGAAGCCTGCTTATCATTTGTAAAAATGTTGAACAAAAGAATAAGGCTCTAAAATTACAAATGGTGTGTAAAAAAGAAGTTCTGGAAAGAAAGGTTGTTGGAGAAGAAAAAGGAGCAAAAGGAGTAATTTAAGGAATTCCTGTTGGAGAAAATCTGGATGAGCTAAAGAACATAATCAAAGGAGGAGAAATTAAAGGCATCAAAAGGTTACAGGCTTTTAGAAACGGGGAGAAAACTGATAGTACATCTGTACTGCTGGAATTTAAAGATAGGATTCTACCAGATAAAGTAACAATTGGTTACATGAGCTTTAATGTAAGGGCTTATGTTTCACCACCACTCAGATGTTATAAATGTCAAAGATATGGACATACTGCAAACATTTGTAAAGGAAAACAGAGATGTGGTAGATGTGGAGGCGAACATCCATATGGTGAGTGTGGAAATAATCCTATTAAATGTTGCAACTGTGGAGGAAATCATACTGACGAAAATGCAAGGATGCACTGTAAGAAAACAGGCAGCTGAAATTCAAAAAGTCAAAAATGAGAAGAGAATTACATATACTGAAGCTGTAAAAGAGGTGAAAAATAATGATAATACTCCGAAAATAAGTACCAGTAACTGAACAAGCTCGCTTCCTGCATGAATCCAGTACCTC